GACCGAGTCCTACGATGAGGACAGGCTGCAGCAGAGGACCAGAACCAGACCGAGTACTACGATGAGGATGGGCTGCAGCTGAGGACCAGAACCAGACCGAGTCCTACCATGAGGACGGGCTGCAGCAGAGGACCAGAACCAGACCGAGTCCTACCATGAGGACGGGCTGCAGCAGAGGACCAGAACCAGACCGAGTCCTACCATGAGGACGGGCTGCAGCAGAGGACCAGAACCAGACCGAGTCCTACGATGAGGACAGGCTGCAGCAGAGGACCAGAACCAGACCGAGTCCTACGATGAGGACGGGCTGCAGCAGAGGACCAGAACCAGACCGAGTCCTACCATGAGGACGGGCTGCAGCAGAGGACCAGAACCAGACCGAGTCCTACCATGAGGACGGGCTGCAGAAGAGGACCAGAACCAGACCGAGTCCTACGATGAGGACAGGCTGCAGCAGAGGACCAGAACCAGACCGAGTCCTACGAAGAGGACGGGCTGCAGCAGAGGACCAGAACCAGACCGAGTCCTACCATGAGGACGGGCTGCAGCAGAGGACCAGAACCAGACCGAGTCCTACCATGAGGACGGGCTGCAGCAGAGGACCAGAACCAGACCGAGTCCTACCATGAGGACGGGCTGCAGCAGAGGACCAGAACCAGACCGAGTCCTACGAAGAGGACAGGCTGCAGCAGAGGACCAGAACCAGACCGAGTCCTACCATGAGGACGGGCTGCAGCAGAGGACCAGAACCAGACCGAGTCCTACGATGAGGACAGGCTGCAGCAGAGGACCAGAACCAGACCGAGTACTACGATGAGGATGGGCTGCAGCAGAGGACCAGAACCAGACCGAGTCCTACCATGAGGACGGGCTGCAGCAGAGGACCAGAACCAGACCGAGTCCTACCATGAGGACGGGCTGCAGCAGAGGACCAGAACCAGACCGAGTCCTACCATGAGGACGGGCTGCAGCAGAGGACCAGAACCAGACCGAGTCCTACGATGAGGACGGGCTGCAGCAGAGGACCAGAACCAGACCGAGTCCTACCATGAGGATGGGCTGCAGCAGAGGACCAGAACCAGACCGAGTCCTACGATGAGGACAGGCTGCAGCAGAGGACCAGAACCAGACCGAGTCCTACCATGAGGACGGGCTGCAGCAGAGGACCAGAACCAGACCGAGTCCTACCATGAGGACGGGCTGCAGCAGAGGACCAGAACCAGACCGAGTCCTACCATGAGGACGGGCTGCAGCAGAAGACCAGAACCAGACCGAGTCCTACGATGAGGACGAGCTGCAGCAGAGGACCAGAACCAGACCGAGTCCTACCATGAGGACGGGCTGCAGCAGAGGACCAGAACCAGACCGAGTCCTACGATGAGGACAGGCTGCAGCAGAGGACCAGAACCAGACCGAGTACTACGATGAGGACGGGCTGCAGCAGAGGACCAGAACCAGACCGAGTCCTACCATGAGGACGGGCTGCAGCAGAGGACCAGAACCAGACCGAGTCCTACGATGAGGACGGGCTGCAGCAGAGGACCAGAACCAGACCGAGTCCTACCATGAGGACGGGCTGCAGCAGAGGACCAGAACCAGACCGAGTCCTACGATGAGGACGAGCTGCAGCAGAGGACCAGAACCAGACCGAGTCCTACGATGAGGACAGGCTGCAGCAGAGGACCAGAACCAGACCGAGTACTACGATGAGGACGGGCTGCAGCAGAGGACCAGAACCAGACCGAGTCCTACGATGAGGACGGGCTGCAGCAGAGGACCAGAACCAGACCGAGTCCTACCATGAGGACGGGCTGCAGCAGAGGACCAGAACCAGACCGAGTCCTACCATGAGGACGGGCTGCAGCAGAAGACCAGAACCAGACCGAGTCCTACGATGAGGACGAGCTGCAGCAGAGGACCAGAACCAGACCGAGTCCTACCATGAGGACGGGCTGCAGCAGAGGACCAGAACCAGACCGAGTCCTACCATGAGGACGGGCTGCAGCAGAGGACCAGAACCAGACCGAGTCCTACCATGAGGACGGGCTGCAGCAGAGGACCAGAACCAGACCGAGTCCTACCATGAGGACGGGCTGCAGCAGAGGACCAGAACCAGACCGAGTCCTACCATGAGGACGGGCTGCAGCAGAGGACCAGAACCAGACCGAGTCCTATGATGAGGACGAGCTGCAGCAGAGGACCAGAACCAGACCGAGTCCTACGATGAGGACGGGCTGCAGCAGAGGACCAGAACCAGACCGAGTCCTACGATGAGGACGGGCTGCAGCAGAGGACCAGAACCAGACCGAGTCCTACGATGAGGACGGGCTGCAGCAGAGGACCAGAACCAGACCGAGTCCTACCATGAGGACGGGCTGCAGCAGAGGACCAGAACCAGACCGAGTCCTACGATGAGGACGGGCTGCAGCAGAGGACCAGAACCAGATCGAGTCCTACGAAGAGGACGGGCTGCAGCAGAGGACCAGAACCAGATCGAGTCCTACGAAGAGGACGGGCTGCAGCAGAGGACCAGAACCAGACCGAGTCCTACGATGAGGACGGGCTGCAGCAGAGGACCACAACCAGACCGAGTCCTACGATGAGGACGGGCTGCAGCAGAGGACCAGAACCAGACCGAGTCCTACCATGAGGACGGGCTGCAGCAGAGGACGAGAACCAGACCGAGTCCTACGAAGAGGACGGGCTGCAGCAGAGGACCAGAACCAGACCGAGTCCTACGATGAGGACGAGCTGCAGCAGAGGACGAGAACCAGACCGAGTCCTACGAAGAGGACGGGCTGCAGCAGAGGACCAGAACCAGACCGAGTCCTACGAAGAGGACGGGCTGCAGCAGAGGACCAGAACCAGACCGAGTCCTACGATGAGGACGAGCTGCAGCAGAGGACCAGAACCAGACCGAGTCCTACCATGAGGACGGGCTGCAGCAGAGGACCAGAACCAGACCGAGTCCTACCATGAGGACGGGCTGCAGCAGAGGACCAGAACCAGACCGAGTCCTACCATGAGGACGGGCTGCAGCAGAGGACCAGAACCAGACCGAGTCCTACCATGAGGACAGGCTGCAGCAGAGGACCAGAACCAGACCGAGTCCTACCATGAGGACGGGCTGCAGCAGAGGACCAGAACCAGACCGAGTCCTACCATGAGGACGGGCTGCAGCAGAGGACCAGAACCAGACCGAGTCCTACCATGAGGACGGGCTGCAGCAGAGGACCAGAACCAGACCGAGTCCTACCATGAGGACGGGCTGCAGCAGAGGACCAGAACCAGACCGAGTCCTACCATGAGGACGGGCTGCAGCAGAGGACCAGAACCAGACCGAGTCCTACCATGAGGACGGGCTGCAGCAGAAGACCAGAACCAGACCGAGTCCTACCATGAGGACGGGCTGCAGCAGAGGACCAGAACCAGACCGAGTCCTACCATGAGGACGGGCTGCAGCAGAGGACCAGAACCAGACCGAGTCCTACCATGAGGACGGGCTGCAGCAGAGGACCAGAACCAGACCGAGTCCTACCATGAGGACGGGCTGCAGCAGAGGACCAGAACCAGACCGAGTCCTACCATGAGGACGGGCTGCAGCAGAGGACCAGAACCAGACCGAGTCCTACCATGAGGACGGGCTGCAGCAGAAGACCAGAACTTAATGTTTTTTCCAGCAGAGTTGCAGAAGCCAACTATTAGCTATATCCTAATTTTTAACCTTTTAATCTACTAAATATGGTTATGTTTATATTTTGATATTTTAAGAACGAAAATAAAATAAAAGCAACATAACATCAAAATAACAACTTCAGGCAGAAGAGAAACTTTTCCAAATGAACATAAAACATCCAGTAATCTGCCTCCATTTCTAAGACAGGTGATGTTTACCAGTTTAAAGCTAATAAAGGACCTAAAGCAACAACATTTAATGTTCACTTTGTTTCAGCTATAGAACAGACGGATCAGCAGAAATATTAAACTTCTGCACAAAAAAATATAATTTTAATGATTAATTTTCTGTTAAAACTAGCTTGTTGTTGAAGCTGATCGTTGGAGGAGAGAATAGAAACTCTTTTCTTTAACTTGAACAAAACATCCTCATTTCAGCTCCTTCCAACAGAAAACACTGGATCTCCTCATAATCTGGTCTGAGGTTCAGAAAAACAGCAGCAGCTGATCTTATGAACAAGGTCATTAAAAAGGTCTAAAAAAATCAGCAGCTTTTGTTTCTTCTGACGTTTTAAAAACCAGGAATATATAAACAAACATATAAACCTTGAGTTCTGGAAAACTAAAAAGAACCAAATGTTATGATTCTATGATCTGAATAGTTGTGAATCATTTAGAAGGAGTTTGATCCATTCTTTAAGTTTTTAACTCCAGCTTTTCCAAAGGGTCCAAACAGAGGAGGCGACCCTGACGTGCATGCTTTGATCAATCATGGAGATTATTGACATATTCTAGTCTGGATTATCATCCAAATTATCTGCTGCACAGTGATTTAATCCATGTGGAAAATTCCTGCTTCCAGGCTCGCTCCTCCTGCAGCATCAACGCATTTACAGTAAAAGCTTCACTCATCAGAGTCACATACAAACATAAATGCTGCAAGGTCAAACTGCAACCTGTCACGACTCTGCCGCGAGCCAACATGGATGACTGAGTCCCGCGTGGAGCTCAGACCACACGAGATTACAGGCTGTTCTGGTGCCTGGAAACCGGAGCAGATGCACATCAGCCGGAGCGCACTGCGCAGCATCATCATCATCCTCAGCATCATCATCATCATCATCCTCAGCATCAGCTGCAGGCGGACAGGAAGCGCTTCCTGCAGGCCTGCAGCGGTCCTTTGGAGAACCACAGCATGCATGGATTGGTTCTGCTTACAAAAATCACACAAAACCCCCAAAATGGTCCAGAGACGCTTCCGCCGCAAAATGACACCAGTGTCGCAGCCACCGGTGGCCCTGATGACGTCACCAACCAGAACCTACCTGCGCTCCTCGGTTCTAACGCGCAGAGATCCTGTTCTTCACTCCTCCATGTCCGCAGTCTGCAGGGTTTCCCTGCGGTTTGTCTCCAGAAGCTCCGCTTGATGAAGGAGGAGGAGGAGGAGGAGGGGTGGATAGTATAAGGAGGAGAGGAGAAGCGCGTCTGCGTCACATTTTAAAGGGGAAACATCACTCAGACATTCAGCAGAGAGACTCAGGACCGCTGGTCCTCCTAGCAGGGGCGGATTTAGGAAAGGTGGGGCCCTAGGCAGAGACAGGCAGGGGCCCCGCTGAATTGAGAAGATGAACTTTATAAATGTTTTAAATCAGGTTGGGTCCGGATCCGGTCCGCTAATCTGTATTTCTGAATCTGATTTCAGAGTGATCTCATCTATCTATCTATCTATCTATCTATCTATCTATCTATCTATCTATCTATCTATCTATCTATCTATCTATCTATCTATCTATCTATCTATCTATCTATCTATCTATCTATCTATCTATCTATCTATCTATCTATCTATCTATCTTCCTTCCTGCTGTAGAGAACATCCCCTCACAGGGCAGCAGGGGGAGCCAAAGGAAAAGAATAGACATGTTGGATGGGATCATTTTCTTGGATCTGCTTCCTGGTGTTAAAATGCTGCTACAGTGAGTTAACTGATACAGGGAGAATAAATATAACATGCCTCATTAACACTGAGTGACAGGAAGAGCTTCTGAAGAAGAGAGAGGAGATGAAGCTGATGAAGAGTGTTTAATAACAGCAAGACATTTAGGAGGGAATGCTGCTTTGCTGGAGCTAAAGAAGCCAAACTTCCTGAATCTAGGTAGGAGTTTTCCCAGGAACATTTGCTTCGGTCCAGTTCATGGTCGGTTGGTCAGTCCGTCCGTCCGTCCGTCCGTCCATCCATCCATCCATCCATCCATCCATCCATCCATCTTCTTCCTCTTATCCAGGGTCGGGTCGTGGGGGTAGCAGCTTCAGTAGGGAGGCCCAGACGTCCCTCTCTCCAGCCTCTTGGTCCAGCTCCTCTGGGGGAATCCCAAGGCGCTCCCAGGCCAGCAGAGAAACATAGTCTCTCCAGCGTGTCCTGGGTCTCCCCCTGGGCCTCCTCCTGGTGGGACGTGCCTGGAACACCTCACCAGGGAGACGTCCAGGAGGCATCCTAATCAGATGCCCGAGCCATCTCAACTGACTCCTCTCTATGTGGAGGAGCAGCGGCTCTACTCTGAGTCCTCCCCCTGACTGAGCTCCTCCCCCTATCTCTAAGGGAAAACTAATTTCAGCCGCTTGGATCCAGGATCTCGTTCTTTCGGTCATGACCCAAAGCTGATGACCATAGATGAGGGTAGGAACGTAGATCGACCGGTAAATCCAGAGCTTTGCTTTTTGGTTCAGCTCTCTCTGAACCACAACAGATCGGTACAGCGTCCGCTTCACAGCAGACGCCGCACCAATCCGCCTATCGATCTCCCGCTCCATCTTCCCCTCATTAGTGAACAAGATCCCAAGATACTTAAACTCCTCCACTAGGGGCAGCACATGATGCAGCATTGACAACAATTCAACGAATTTAGAGACAATTTGCCTCTTTTTTAAAAAGCTCCACTGTAACATCGTCGAATGGGGACATCACTTTTAGTTTTTGAGGAATGATGTCATGATGATGTCATGATGATGTCATGATGATGTCAGTGCATAGACCTGATGGTGCATTCACATGAAACTTGATCAGAGCAGCAAAAACGCTTAAATTCCAAAATGTGGACGCTGGGTCAGACGCTGGATGAGTTTTTGATGTTTCGAAGCTCTGGTTGTTTATCTGCTCTGTTCTGTAGCATCAAGCTAGATGCAGCTTGGCTTTATTTAATTTATGAGTTGGAAAAATAGTTTTGACACGTTTTTAAGTGAAAAACTCCACCTCCAAACAACTTTTCATCAATTATGATCCCACTAAAATATGCTTTTAAAGATTTTTGGTAAAAACTGGAAGTTTCACAATATACAAACAAAAGAACTTGTTTTAGTTCAGCAGTAATGCTGGATGAGTGGATGCATCAAACACGGGGCGACCCGCTAACAAGCGACATTTGGCTTCCTTCCCTTTGGCAAAAAAAGCTGGGTAAATCAAGGGGTGAACCCGGGTCTGGCGTTCCCACCTCCTGCCGATCAGAGCAGACGCCATTTTTACACGGGTCATAATGACCCGGGTAGACACGCGTCAGGGGGCTGTTCCCACTGCCACTAAAAGCCCATTCTTCCAGGGTTTAAACCAGTTTTTCAACCAGTGGGAAAAGAACATCAGCGAAGTGAAGAGTGCAGGTATGGTGGTAAATCTTAGCAACATACCAGCTGGGCTCATATATCAGTGACTCTTAATATTTTACGCAGCGACAGGATCAACTAATCTGCAGTCCATCCAGATTACGGCTCTGACATGGGAGCTGGCTCAGAACCCGTCTGCCAGGCTCTCTGTTTCCTGTAAAGTACCTTAAGATGACATGTTGTCAGTAGACGCTATATGAATCAGCTGAACTGAACTAAATATATCTAAAACATCTAAATAATGATTATTTAAATGATAATATTGACTGTAATTAATCTACATTTTCCATCGGGTTTCCATCACCACGCCGTAAACTTTACTTCCTTCACTTTCAGGGCGACCGCCATTTAATTTCATTCATTTTATTGTGTATGTTACCTGTTATGATATTTCTTTAACATTTAGTCCACCCATTTTATGCTTGGTGGCATTCTGCACTCATTCATCTCAGTGGTCAATGTGCATAAAGACAAATACTGGGAACTAGATCTGAAACTAACGATTGTTTTGCAAATCAATTAATCTGCTGATCATTTTTTCAATTAATTTATTAATAATCTGATAATCTGAAAGCAAAAGGTGCCTTAAAGATTTTTTACAAAATTAAACCAGCTGAAACTAAAACTTTTCCACTTTACAAAAAGTAAAAATACCTGAAATTATGTTTTTCTTTTCATACTGATTTTTGTTGTTGGCATTCATATAAATATACTGTTTGATACCTTAATATACATTTAATTGGTTTTTGGTATTTGCCTATTTTGAAGTGATAGTGCTCCGTGGAGAAAACGCCACGGCCGCCACTGGACTGATGTTGGCAGAGGTGGATTTAGGAAATTTGGGGCCCAAGGCAAAGAAAGACAAGGGGCCCAGACCTATTCTCCAGATGTAGAAATGTTAATAGAATAGACATCCATTATCTGTTCTAGGTTGTGTCCCTCTCTTCTTGTCCCTTTTCTTCTTGTTTTCCTCTCTATGTTTTGTACTCAGCTGACTTTTCATGCTGTCTCTAAAGGAATGAAAGATTTTTTCCAAGCACTAAGCTCACTTAGCTGATTGCTCCTTCCTGTGTTTCCAAAAAGGCCAAAGTAAATAACCCAGTCCTTCTTTTCACTGTAGACAAGCCATGATCTGCTTATCTGTTCTCCATTTTTCATTTGGATGAAATAATAGCTGCATGAATCATGACAGCAGACAAGATAGAGGAGAGCAGGAGGCGGGGTTACCAATCTACTCGCTCTGGAGAGCAGAGTTCGCTGCTTTTAGATGTTGTCTCCAAAGTCTCCAGTAGCAGAAAAAAGTCTCTAGATTTGGCGCTAGGAGCTTTTTAGAAATCAAAGTGCTAGAGGGGTCTGAAAAGTGGCTAAATATAGCGACTAAAGCGCTAAGTTGGCAACACTGCTCTTTGCATGGTTTGTTTTCAAATGGTTTGCTGCTGTCTGTTTGGACCTTTCTGAACATGTGCAGCAAATGGACTGATCCAATATGGTGGACACTGAAGGGGGGGGCTGAGGCACACTTAATATTATCAGCGTTCTGATGGCATTTTAGCCAAAGGATTTTTATCAAAAATATCATTAATGTGCAGAAATAAGGAATAGTATTAACTATACATGTAAAAGGATTTTTATGGGGCCCCCAGGAACTTGGGGCCCTAGGCAACTGCCTAGTATTGCCTAATGGTAAATCCCTCACTGACACTGGCGTATGTCGTTGTGTGCCCGCCTCCTTCAGCGTGTTCATAACTTCTACAAATCGTATCCATAACTTAACTAACGTATTCCAGCGTTTTTGGCAGATTTTTCCATACATCAGGTATCCGCTGGTCTAAAGAGTGACGAGCGCTCAGCCAAAGGCGCTTGAAGCTGGTTCAGAGACCATGATGTTCCTGTGCTTGACAGGCCAGAAAACTGACCCCCCCCCCCATAGAAGACAATACAGACAAGCTATATTTGCTCTGAACGTCTGCTTCCAGAAAACGATGCAAACATTGTATTCCCTGTGCAGGGATGGGCTTTCAGTCGGCCTACGTTTCTGCTTTTCAGTTTTTTGGTCCTTTAATCTTCTGAGAACCTAAAGATGAATGTAAAAACAGAAAACTGGGTGAAATAACTCACCGTCTTTAGAGCAAAGTGAACCTTTACCTCGATCATCTGGAATCAGTTGAATTTTTGCCCATTTCTAAACATTTGTCACAAACAAAACACAAACACAGAGTTTTTGAATTTTGTGTTTTATTGTAAACTGATGTTTAAGCTGAGAAATACGCGGCTGATCAGAGTTTTATTCTAGGCACACATTGCTTTTTATTTTGCTCTTTATTGTGTATTTGAGTTACATTTGTCTTTCAGAGACATGAACTTGTTTTCCGTTTGTTCATTGGAGGCATGAACAGCACGTAATAAAACACCTGGAGGATCCGGTCACGCCGTTACGCTACGATTGTTCTTATCACAGGATTTACCGATTATTTGATAAGTTGTTTTTAAAAAAAGTCTTTAGGAAACATTTCCTGCAGAAATGATGCATCAGCTGACAGAGTTATGACAGATCAATCCAAACAGTAAAGCTATTTTTTCTCGTATCTTACGTATATTTTTATATTCTGCATAATTTCAGTAGTTTAAAGAAACGGAACAATCAATCACTTTAGACCTGCTGATCCTGAATGAACTGCATCCCTCTCTGCAGCACCAGTGAACTACAGGCAGCAGTGGGATTTACTGGTTTATGGTTCTTAGGAACATTGTTTCTGTATCTTTAACTTCTTGTGGGGATTACTTAGAACTTTCACTCTCATACATTTCTAGTTGTTATTTGTTCCTTTGGCTCAGCTTAGATTTCTTGAAATCCCAGCTACGTCCACATCATTATCTCACAGTTTATTTATTATCTCAAAACATTAAGAGTGCATTTGGTCCCACTCGGAGTTAGTGCTAAATTAGAACTCTATTTTACTCCAGTAATAACCCTAAAAGAGTCAGTGTACTTCTACACTGCATATTTAACACTGGAATTTATTGTGCTGTCCCATTTCTCTCACTTGCACTCATTTCGGACCCTAGCACTCGGTTTTGCGCGTTCGCCTTTCAGGTTAGTGTGTCCCAATAGTTCTAAGAGCTAGGGCAAAGCGCCCTCCAACCCTTAAAATGATCCCTTCAGACCAAGTGAGGTCAGGAGCTGACTTGGGAGTGAAGTGGATTCCCAGAATACTTTGCAAACTCATTCAGCGAGAGCAGAAATGGCGCCTTGCAGTGAGAAACAACTGCACAAATGTGACTAGATGTTTACACTTAACCATGCATTTTTTCAATATGCTGGAATATCTTAGTTGGACGAAAATACAACTGAAATTCGCACCTTTGTGTTAAAACATCACTATAGCAAAATAGCTTTTTTTCGTAATACACAATTCTACCAAAAGTTGTTTTTTTAACGTAAAGTAGGATGATTATGAAGGCGGTGAAGTTGGTTAGAAGTTGGATATTAGATATCCAAGCTTCGCAGAGTCAGAGGGATCTAGCTCTAGGTTGATCCGACTGAAATACTCTGATTTCTGCCAACGTCTGCCGGAGCAGCTGAGAGCCGGGGGCCAGGGGCCGGGGGCCTCAGCCGGATGAACGACTAAAACATGCCAGATGTTAGCCGTTTGGAATGAACGCTGGTTTGGAGATTTGCGAGATTTTCCACAAATGTGTAAAACTCAGAATAGATATTAGTTGTGGTTTAGATTTTTAAGGCGTGAGTTGTTGCCATGTGGCCAAGTTGTTCAGTAGGACGAGTTCTCATGTTTTAAAAATAACTTTTCTTCCTTGGTGCTTTTTTAGCTGATGTTCTTTCCAGGTGGTGTAGAATCTGTAGCAGGTGGTTCTATGGGTCAGAACTTCAGGTGGTTTCTGAAAGTTACAGGTTCTGTAGAATTACTCTGAGAATTTTCTGATATTAGAAAAATTTATTTGTTCTTTTAAATAAATGTACTTTTGAATACTTCAGCACTTCAATAGATTATTGCCAGAATAACTTTTACTTGCAGACGACTAAGATTTCACTACGAGTATCAATACTTTTACTCAGATACTCCTGTTGAGTACTTGGTCAACCACTAACAGGCAGCCTCCACTGCCACCTAGTGGTGTAGCTGCTAACAGCTTGTCTAAAGAAGTCTGTTCTCTATCAAACACAGCAGAATGGATTTCACAAAACATTTAATAGATTAACTTCTTAATTAAGAAGAAGAAATATGTAAGAAAAATTACTGTAAAACAGCAACAACTGAAAATAAAGAATATTCTAACAGGTCTGCAGTCCAACACAGAGACAATCAACCATTCACTCCTAAGGAGGATTTAGAGAAGCCAGTTAACCTAACAGTCATGTTTCTGGACTGTGGGAGGAAGCTGGAGTACCCGGAGAGAACCCACGCATGCTCAGGGAGAACATGCAACCTGCATGCAGAAAGAACACATTGGTTCCTACCTTGATACCGCGACACAAACTTCTGAAAGTTCTTTAAATCTGAAATGATTCCATCCTGTTCAATAAATGTTTTTAATTCAGAGTCATTTTCATGTGAATGTGCTTTACTGGAGGCATCCATGTTTGTCAAAGAACACTACTGCCACCTACTGGTTAGTGACATTGTCACGGTGCGGTATCGGCTGTTGATCAAGTCCCAGTGCTGTATCTGGTGTTTGTCACAACGCGCTATTATCCAAGTCATCTTGAAAACATTCTTCTTCCAAATGTTGGCTACATATTACGGGTTTTTTCTCTGGCCAGAAGTTCGATGGCAAATCCTCCCTCTTCAAGTTGGCGATCCAACGACCAACCCGTCCGTGGAGGATCAGGAATCAGAAAGGTGGAATAACTCTTTTTTTCACTTTTACCCGATGTATTCCAGCATCCAGCTGCCATGCACGTGGGCATTGTCAGTTTCACTATAGCTCTGGTGAATTTCAATGGTGAAGTCCTCTGGAAATCTTCAATAATTGTTGTTGATTGCAGATGTGTCTAGTAGTTCCCATTGATTTAGCTTGGAAAGCGGGGAGAATGGCGCTAGGCTTACCGCACCGTGACGTCACTGCTGGAAGATGGCAGGAGGGAGGGGCTACTATATCTGGCTAAAAATGGCCGCTCCCAGACTCAGACTGATTAACGCTAAGTTCATTAAATCTCTGCAAACTTATTAGTTTTAGGTATAAATAATGATCCATTGATTATTCTTCGCTGACCAAACTTTTTCTTTAAACTTAATCCTTAATAAAAGACAAACCAACAGCAGGTTTTTACATCAACCATAAAATGAGTTTATTTCACTGGAGACCCAAACATTTGTTTCCCCAGGATGCATAGAACATGTCGTCGTTACAAGAATTGAGATTTGACTAAATGAAACCAGTGTGTTTAACCTCATTTGTTCCACCAGTGGCGTCAGACTCATCAACATGCTGTTGTCTGAACTGGGCGAAGCATCTTTAATGGAGAAAATAAACAAAGGCATTTTAAAAAAATAAATTCTTCCTCTCTGAACAAAGGGAGCGGGCGGCGCTGGAGGTGGAGAAAGAAGAGTAAGGCTACTGGTATCAGTGGGTTGAGGAACAGAATCGTATTACTGTTGCTTATCTGTGGAGAAGGAAAAGATGATAAATCTAATGCGTAAAGCAGCAGCTCAGCTGCTGCCGAAAGCTCAGAACTTTGTTCAGAGGCTGGATGACGGTTAGTAGACATTATAGTGAGTCTCTCTGGACGAATCATTTGCCATCAGCATCACATTCCTTCAGCAGGGCCGGTGCTTTGAGGGGAAACATCTGCAGGATGGTTGAACGTTTCAGCCCTCTGCAGTCTGATGGGGGGAGGGGGGATGGAAAGGAGGGAGGGCACGGGAAGCAAGATCTTTTATTTAATTTCAGAAATAAACCCATCAGAAACTAGAAGTCCGTGTAAGTCCATGTGTTCTGCTCCCTCGGCGCTCCGGCGTGAGGGAAGCGGAGGAATGGGGGCGGAGCCTCATCCCAGCCTCACTTTAGCCTCTGAACGATGACGGCGTTCAGGAGGTTGGCCTCCTGCAGCGTCTGGCTCTCGTCTGTCAGCTCCTTGCTGGGGAAGGTGGTCATCAGAACGAACTCTCTGGCCGCCATCGCTGGCCGCGCCAACACCACGAACTGCCGCAGGTCGGAAACCCTGAGGCACACGGGGAGAAATAAAAATCCAGGGTTTTATTCTGAGGCGGATCATTTTACAGGCTGCTGGTTTCTGCTGAGATCAACAAACTGGTTAAATGGAAGCAACTGGTTCATCTGCAGAAACACAAATGATCACAGTTCTTAAGATTTAAATGTTTAGCATCTTTTCAGACGGACCAACTTCCTGCATCAGAGTGAGACTCCTGCTGCCTTCCTGTGGTTTAGATCATCCTTCCCAGCATGTTGTGTTCAGGTGCTTTTGATTTGGTGGAAAAGAGAAAGATGTTGGATCCAGAGATTATCCTGACCTGCTGCTGCCGCCGTTATAGACTCCCTAGTTTATCTGCTACAGGAAGAAGAGGACGCATCAGACGCATCAGCTGCCTGCTAGCCAGGATTTGATCAAAATCAAAAAATGGCGTTATTTTAAAAAGTGTAAAAAGGTGATATATCTTTTTTTAAATGCATTTACAGCATTCTGTAGGCAACAAACTGCTCACCATACAGAATAGTTCCGCTGCTGTCCGCCATGTTGAAAGGTCAAAGTTTACCTCAAGCATAAAGGTTTCATGTCGTTGATGAGGTTAGGGCCGGGCGGTTCCACCTCACATCGATATCACAATAAACTGGACAGTTTAACCTGGAGAACGATAAATATTGAGGCTCCTCCATCAGAAATAAAGGCCTGTACAGGAAACGCAACTGATCTATTTATAATTTACTTATTGAAGAATTCTCATTACATATTACTTTCAGTTAAATATTAAAGTGTTTTGCTCGTTCAGGTTTAAACATTCAACAATGTTTCATTGAATAGGAGAAAAATGTTTCCTCTCTTGCGAACTCTTTTGCTGAAAGGTAATAGATCTTCTTGCACATCTTTAATCTGCACAGTGCGGCTGAGCTGCAGGCGCTGCAGCCTGGATGTGTTTCTATGTTTTCAGATAAACTTTACATTTCGTTTCTTTTGCTCTTTTCTCTGAGCTTCATCTCTGCTCAACCGGCTCTACAGGATTAACTGATGTCATTTGGTTTACAGCTGTTAGACACTTCTTCACTCGGCTCATCCACCATTCTCTTTGTTTACGCTTCTGATTGGATGGGTGGAGTCACATGATCAGATAAATGCTGCTGTGAATTAAAAGCGAAGGAAAAACCAGCCACGAGTACAGGAAAAATGCAGAATTATTGACAGACTTATTTAATGCATTTTTTACTGACATGAAAAAAAATAAGCCTGGTTATCGTAGTGAATGACAGCAACGGTAAAAATCCGGTTTATCGCCCGGCCCTCCATTGGTTGTTACTGAAGGCAGCATCAGTAACGACCAATGGAGAAACATTAATGGAAGAGTGATGCGTCTTCCCAGCTGTGGTCGGCTGGAGGTGACAGAACCTAGATGAGAAGCTGCAGCAGGGTTCCTACAGCATCAGGTGAGTTAAATTCAAGACTTTTTAATGCCACTTTAAATTAAAATTTAAGACCAAAATCACAAGAAACACAAGAAAAACCTGCTTGGGACGACTTAACCCAAAGGTTTATTTTAACATAAACCACTGCACTAATGTTTCAAATGTTGAAAAGCTTCCCATACAGGAAGAAAGCTAAAAACACACAGATGACAGATATATTTGAACAATTATTTAACTGAATTCACAAACTTCGTTTTAGCAGGGAACAAAACTAATCAGTTTTAAAGCCCCAACATAACCAGTGCTAAGTCTTTTTAGCAGCTATTTTTCTTTGTATGGTTTTCTTAGTATGTTTGATTTGGTGATAAGTGGAGGCGTTGCAGAGACAAGGGTGGAACTAAACTGAGAAATACCGGCTGTTTCTCTGTGACTCCATTTTGACGCTTTGTGTTTCGTGCTTCACATGTGCGACTCCACTGCCTTAATTCCCCTCGTTCCCAGCTCGAATCGCTTCTTGTGCCTCATGTATGTTCCCTTGTTTTAGCCATGGAGAAAACTCTTGGCTACAAAGTCTCACCCTAAAGTGGCCTATAAAGGTCGGAGCTGGAGCTGCTGCTCTTCGTTTACCCTGCAGAGGAATGAAATCTGACCGCCCAGAACGCTCCTGCTTTCCTGATGTTCCAGGAGGAGCAGCTGCTTCTCCTTGTTCTGCTGTCTCTGCATTAAACTGAGGTTTAAAATGCACGAGGCTCACCTGTGGCTGTGGTTGAACTTCTGCACCAGCTTTCCGCCATCAGCCAGGCGGATCTGAATGTTAGTGGTGGGCTGGGAGGGGTCCAGGCTCACAGAGGAACCGGCCTGGGCTTCGTTGGCAGCCTGGTCCTGCTGGGAGGAGGGTGCAGCTGAAACCAGCTCAGGGGTGGCACTGAGGAAGAGGAAGAAGTATTTACTTGGTATCCTATAGATGAAAAACTCTGGGTATCGCCCACACAAGGTGAGTAGATCTGTGCAGATTTATTTCCTTTGTGTCTCTGTGCCAAACTAACTGAAACACTGCCCCACATTTGGCTGCAACAAACAGTGAAAAAGTCCCTGGAAGCATGTTTGGAGGAAACCAGACGCCACTCCTCGCCAGGCCATCCCTACAGCACAGCACGGTAGCGGCGGCATCATGTGTTTTAGTAGCAGGAACTGTCAGAATGCTGGGAAAGATGGAGGCAGAGGTGAAGAGATGCCAGAAAGTCAGAACTCAGAGGAGAGGATGAGTAGGAACCCTGTGGATGACTGGGCCAAGATGGCGTCTATTTCCCATCCAACCTGAGGGAGCAGAGATGTTCACCAAGGAGGCCTGGATCTGATTTGGACCTGCTGCTAAACCACAACAACTAAGGATGAAGCAAAGGCTGCCGGTCCAGAAACACCATCGTTGGTGTCCACTCAGATGCCTGGCTAAAACTCCTTAACCCCAGCGGGCCCGGTACAGGGCCCACTGACACCTGCTCATGTTTATCTATTCATAGAAATGGTCAGTCACATGGTGTTTCATCCACACGCCTTTTAAATGAGGCTTTAAATTTTCTAAAACGTGTTTCAAAATTATTTTTCATGAATACTTTTTTTTCCCATAGCTGTGTAATCAAATAAAATGAGATTTAAAATTCCTGCCATGTGTGACTCTGCGGGAGTAATGCAGCAGCAGGTATTCATTTTAAGCCCCGCCCCCTAATGGCCGCCATCATTGGAAACTAGAGGCTCTGACCTTTCCAAGGAGGGGTCAGAGGTCATGTAACCGGCTTGGTTCCATCAGCTGCTCTGTTATTCTTATTTTCCATCCAGTTTGCTGATTTTATTGGTAAATTTTAATGAAGCAACGACTAAATCTGAGGATCAAAGGCTTCGCCTCATGCAGAAAGTCTCCAATAATCTGAATATTTGTCTGATCAGATTCTCTTTCATTAGTGGACAAAATGCCTTGTTTTAAATCCCCTTCCCTCCCAGCACTCTGCCCACTAAAACCTTCATGGAACAAACATGCTTCAACTGATTCAGTCCAGATCAGCTGGACTTCTAGTCTAGATGTGGATCAATAAAGTCTGAGGTTCATCCAGAGCTTCTAATGGGCTTTCATGGCGTTTGCAGTGTTTTATTTGGCGAGGATAAATATTTTTTTCTGTGTTTAATCACCTATAAATCAGACATGCTGACATTTAAAATAGTGGCTCCACCTGAAACATATTCCTTAATGCCTTTCCATCATACAAACACAAACAATTGTATTATCAATTTATAGTTTGGAAGCTGAACTTGCTTTAATTCACAGATGTAATTTCAGGCGGAATTTGCTCCTAAGGGGTTAAACGGTTTCTTTAATCACAGTAAAGCTTTGGAGACCTTTGACCTTTCAGAGGAAACTGGCTCCAGTCCAGCTGAGCTGATCAGATAACGTGTTCAATCAAACCTGAGAATCTCACCTTCCCAGCTTCTGTCCTTCTCCTTCAAAGGCTTTGAAGGCCACCTTGGGCTTGGTAAAGTCCTCGTCTCTGTGGTCCTCCATGTCCAGGTTGACCTGGCCTCCTCGAGCGCGCTGCCTCAGCTCCAGAGGAATCTCCCTGAAAGAACAAACCGACAGTGAGGCCTGGGTGGGTCCCTGGTTTGGTGTTCTGGGGACAGACTGGCGACTAGTCGGTCCTCTGAGGACACGTTCTGGATGAGCTGGAAGGAGGTTCTCACCCACGTCTGATTGCCTCCAGAAAGTTTGCATTTCCAGGGTCGCTGTAGGTCCGAAGTTCACCGTTATCCAGACTGAACCCCGTCTTCCACAGCTTCAGCACCACATGGACCTAGAGAAACACGACATTTTAGTAGAATGCAGGAATTTAATCGGATCAGTTCAAGGGAAAACGTGCAAATCAGAGCAAGAAGACGATGCTTTTTCCTGCTGGGAGGAGCTGATGCTGTCAGACGGAGTTATCAATTCGCAGCACAAGACGTCAGATTTGAGTTTATCCCTTTAGTTTTGTATAAAAAAAAAAGACTTCAATCTACCTCAATGCACCAACAAACTTCCTAGCAGACACCACAAACCTGCTTTCTTTTATTTATTCTTTGGGCCGGGCTGTAAACAGCAGCCTGGTTAATACCATGATCAAAGACATCTTTTTATGCAGACCGGGCACATTGTTAAATTTATGCTTCCTAATGCCCAGGAAATTATACTTGGAGTTAATTTCATGGGCATAACGCTGCCGTGCGTTATGCAGAAGTTAGGCTGTAGATGGACAGAAGTTCTGAATATTCCATGTTTAGGCCCAAGACTGAAAAGATGCATAGAAAGTTCAGCGTTTTAGGAGATTCTGGGACGTCGGGCAGACGCTGGATAAATCATCAAGGTGTGACAGGGCCCTAAGTTAGATGTTGAAGGGATTACATTACATCCAGAAGCTCAGACCATCTGATCTATTGATCAGTCAGCCAACAGAAAAGAATGAGACTAAAGAATGGACGGGATGGAAGTGAGGATTTCAAACCCATCCAAGCACTAAACCAAACATCTAAACACGTTCTTACGTCTTGCTGGCTGTTGCCGCCTTGCCTCTCTCCCGCCACGTAGGCCGACTCCTCCTCAGGAGCTGCTCCCAGCCTGTAACCGCCGCCAACAAAGGCCTGAGAACCACACAGACCATAAGAAAGAGAAAACAATCTGTTAGATGATGCTTCAGCTATCAGTCCGACACACAGAGAAAACACTGGGAGCTACCCTGGCTTTGCTGGTTTCTCCCGGTCCTTTCCCGCTGCGCTCCAGCGGCACGGCGCCGTGTTCTCTGGCCCCTTTGAACAGATCCTCCACCACCTCGTTGGAGCTCTTCTTCTTTGGAGGCCCAACGATCTGCTGCCCGCTGCGCTCTGATCCCCCCGCGAAAAACCTGACGGAGTGTAAAGGCAGACGGGTTAGACTGAAGTCCTTCGATTACTCTGGCTGGAATCTCTCACTAACAAATACCTTTTAGACAAAGTCAAACATCTTTAAAATGTCAAAGCTTTGTATTAAAAGGAATGATTTTAACATTGCATTTTGCAATTTGATTAATCCGTTGATTATTTTATTGATTAATAATCGGATAACCAAATGGTCTTAAAGAAGATTTTTTACGAATTTAAACCGGGAGAAAATAACACTTTTCCACTGTTGGAGATCTGAATGGAGCAGATTGACAGACGAAAACTTTATTTTTTATCTTCCAATCTTTTTTACAATTTCCTAACAGTTCCTGCTCTAAGTGGGTCAATCTTTCAGCTTAAGGCAGATTTTAGTCTCTGTACTCCAGTTAATGATTAATCAATTACTAAATTAGGTAACAATTATAAAAAAAAAATCTATTTTCAGAAGATATCGATCCTTCAGTTATTTTGGTATCCACGGCGTTGGACTCGGTCCGCGGTGTGTTTGATCTTAAAGGCTGCGGTCTGGATCTGGATCCTTCCAGGTCTGTGGAAATAAGGAGACCGGAAGAGTTTTGGCTGTGGATTCAAACAGGTCCAGCCTTCCGCGGCTTTTACCACTGTACGCTCCGTCACCTAGCAACGGTGAGCGTTGACACACAAAGCAGGAAAAGAATGAAGACCGAACTTCTCTCTGCTGTTCTGGATGTTGATAACATTTCCGACGAGCTTCAACAGCTGCATCCAATCAGATCTATAGCCCCCCCCAGCCTGCAGATATATTAGAATCTGTCCTTAAATTTTACACAGTAACAGATAAAAACCTTTAGATAAATCAAACATTACCGCCACATATCTGACTCTATAACCATTTAAATTAACTACTTTCATTAATCTCAGACGGAACTATTCACAGACTGGATTATATTAAACTGAACTTCCAATATTCACCACTGATTGGCGCCATTTCCTTTTTTCCTCTGAGCACGGAGCAGCCGGCTTGCTTGGTCACGCAATGAATCCTGGGAATCCCAGGGCTACAGAGGATACAGCGAATCCGTTCTTCAAAATGCGCTAATAGAAGGACGCCTTTATCGGCCGGATAACGAGGAGTCTTTCAATCCGAACTGACCTCGGCGCCGCGCTGTGACGTAAGCAGCCAACCAATCTGGCCTCCCATGGATTCGAACAGAGAACATGTCTTTCTGTGTGACTGCCTCAACTACAGATATGATGCAGCGCCGCACAGCTAAAGGGCTCCACAGCGCCATCTGCCAGTGGTAGCCCATCTCCACCCGTTGTTTAAGGTAAAACTTTTTTGTTTTCCTTTAGCCGAAGGAACTGAGCGCTCGATATTATATCGGCAGCTGAAAATCATGATATATAGCCAAATTGTTTTTTCCTCCACAGCCCGCCAATAACTGGTTTGGTGTTTTCTGGAACCAGTCGCACCTTTTCACCATCCAGCCGGAGAACGGGTGATCAGACCAGAGGAGCGGCCACCAAGGGAAACTGGAAAATGGCTTCTTTACGCCCAACTTACCCACAAATCCTCTGAGGTAATTTTGTTTTTTTACTTTTTTGTTTAAAACTGTCTCAGAGCTCTAAAAACACAGAAGCTCTTAGGAAGAAAACTGATTATTTTTAAACATTATTAATAGAAGAAACAAAAAGGAAAATGTTACTCCACAGCAGACTTACCGCTGACCTTCCTCCTCATCGCTTTCATCCTCTGCCTCATGCATCAGATCTCTGAAGGAGGTCACCCTGGGCTGACTACTGCAGACCAAACAGTTTGGGTTTAATAAAATGAATAAAGAAATAAACCAAGACTTTATTAAGAGGAAACAACCTGAGGTGTTGAAAATCTTACCTGGGCCCAGTAGATCGAGACACGGAGGAGCCGCCCTCCGGCTGAGGAATCGTGATGATGTCATCATCGTTCCCGTCCTCAAAGAAACTGCCGAGTGCAAGCTGAGGAGGAAACGTGGAAACGGGAATGAGACGCAGGAATGCTGCCAGAAAACGTGCAAACAGAGACCAACATCTGATCTGATCATAAACTTTCACTTCAACCACTTTCAGATCGTCCTTCACTTCCTGCTCTACCGGCGCCGTTTAGAGCGACCAGCGGAAACAACCCAACAGGGAACATTAGTGACTGATGACCTCATCCATTACTGTAACAGAATGATCAAAACATATTTTTCTCAGGCGAATGCAAGGGTCACCAAGATGCATTTATTTATCCGTTTGACAGAATTAAAATAAAGAAAACAGATAATTTAACCAGTTAACGTCTGAAGACCAACATGAAACATTTAGCTTGTTAGGATCATTTCTATTAATGAGGTGTGAGTTTATTACACCCTAATATTAGCTGCCTGTTGCAGGTCAGAACTGATGTTTCCCCCAGCAGTTTATCTATTTAGGACAGATCCAGATATATAGTTATCATCTTCATTCGACATGTGGCTAAGATTTGAGAATGTATTGAGAATGATGTCACTGATCTAAAAACAAAAAGTGTAATATTTTAATAAGGCAGGAGCCATGGATGTCTCCTCATCTGCAAACGTGTATGAATGATATAATGATATAATGATGTAATGATGTGGCGGACTGGAGAGGAATGATTGATGTATGATTCTGTAACGGTGAATCTTGCCGCTTCCTGAGAGGTGTGTAATGTAATGATGTGATCATGTGGCGGACTGGGAGTATAAAATGCTTCTCTATCTGTTAATCGAGGCCACTTCACCAGATTTGAGCCCGGTTGGTAAGCAGCTGCTTTCCGTGACTCTAAGCAACTTCTCTGATCTGAGTAAGATTAGAATTTCTATCCAAATCTGTTGTTGTGTCTCCTGGTTATTGAATACATATAGATTATGAAGTGTTATTTAAATAGTTTGTCCCGAGTGATGTCTCTACAGGGAAAAGAACCGGAGAGAGAAAGCTTCAAGGTGTAGACGGAGCTTTCCTTTGACAAAAAACAAAACTTTCAAGCAATTAAAATCCTCCTTAGAAAAGATTTTTAAAAAAGAAATTTGCTAAACTATAAAAAAATAAATAAAAATGAAATAATTGTTTCTTGTTTAAATCCCTTTTTGAGGCCAGTTGTTTTACACCAAAGGTCACCGATTAGCGGACCGCGGTCCAGATCTGGACCAAACTGATTTAAAACATTTTTAAATTACCGTACTGCATGTTGTCCAACGACAGTGTCCAATTTCCTTTGCGCCGCTTCTCCTGTTAATACGGTGAAGCTCAACCTGCTGCTGTGAAGCAGGATTCTCCACCATGAACAGAATCAACAATAAATCTGGATCCAGGCTCAAAATGAGCTCCTTGATATGTGCTTGAGAATGGCTTAGTCTCCGGTTAAACCCAGGTTTAAAGCCTTGCAGGGCAGCCTAAAGCCCACTGCCAACATTAAGACAGAAAAAAGAAAGAAAATTAACAGTTCAGGGGTTTGAGAAAATATGGGAATCAGGAAATTATCTATAAACCAAACTGAACGATTGTTGTTCTCTACTTAAAAATCACTTTAGATTTTAAAATTGAAAATTTTTATATTTTTAATATTTTTTATTTAAAAAGTGAATGTATAACATGGATGCATAAAGACCTCATTTTATTTCACTGTTACATTCTGTTTAAAGTAACAGATTATAGTTAAAAATGTCTTGATTTTCTTTATTCAGACCCTGCTGATTTGTAATTGGTCCCTCCTGCTTAACACTGTTGGTCATGTGGTAAAATGTCCCATGGTAAATAGAGCTCTACAGGCTGCTGTGAATGCTGACAGTGTTGTTTCTACCTGCTGAGGGAGGGACAGGCCTTTATTCACCTGAACAATGAGTAACTCACAGCCCAGCTTTCAGGTCAGACCTTGAAGCTGGCCGCCTGTAGCTGAAAGTGAAAGGATAAGATTTACAGCCAGGACTGACAAACCTCTAACATTTTAAGATGGAGTTCCTCTAAGTGCTTAAATCCCACATATTTACTGAAACAATAGAACAGGCAAAGCAGCCAGTTAGTTTAATAAAGATCTTTGTCTTTTACAGCCAGAGATCAGGAGGCTGAGCTACACCCAAAGTTGAACAATTGTTCTGTTAAGAACTAAATAAATACCAACCACAGCTCTGCTTTCCTGCCCAGAAACCAACATATTTACTCTGGCATGTTGACAGACTTCCTTAAACAGGGAATTCCAATTATTCCATTAGTTTAGATTCATTTACTTTAAACATCCTTTCAGATACCTGTATTATTTATTGGTATATTATAGTAAACAGTTCGTAATATCTAAAAACAATCGTTGACTCTGTTGCCTCCTGAGATTAAAAGCTAACAGCTTTACTTCACTGCGTCAACTATCATTAATCCAGCCTTTCAGCGGGCTAGCTCCGGCTAGCATGGCTCAGTGGAACAACTGGACAACCGGCTAAAACTTTAGAAATCACCCCCACATCCAGAAAACTACAGCTGCTCCATGTAGCCGTGGATGTAGCAGCTAATTAGCTGTAGCACACCTGCTCTCTTGGTGAGAGAAAGCAGGCGGCTTTGCATTGCCAAGCGGTGACTTGCACAAATGACTGGCGGCAGATGCTAATGTTAGCCGGTAAGCTACTGATCAGACATCCCACCGTAAAGCCGCGGTCTGCCGGGGACGGACCGCAGGTCGGGTTCAGAAAACTGGAGGAAACCCCCCCAGAAAAGCTCTACCTGCAGGTTCCAACCGGCGGACTCCAGGAAAAAGCGGGCCCTCTCCTCCTCTACGCCGGTAACAGCAACGAACTCCCTCACTGACTCCTCCTGACTCGCCATTTTGATTTGCTCCTTCCAGCAGCGGTCCGCGTACCGGAGGAAACAAGAAACACTTGTTGGTTCCGGTCCCGTTTCAAAGTAGAAACACTGAGGGAAAAAATGTAACGGTAAAAGTTTTTAAAATTACACAACCAGGACATTTAAGTATAATATTAAACACATTTACTTTTATCAGAATAAGTCAATTATTTTCACAGGTTCTTCCGACTCATGCTCTACTTTCTAAAGTTTGCATTGATAAAACCACCAGAGGTCAGTCTAAGCGCACAAAAAAAACATCCACTAATATTACCTGTTAAAGAGTTCAAACTAATGATCAATTAAAAATCCAGAATGGAAGAAAACCTTTTTTCTATTTCATCCTTTTACCTTTAAAATATTGTTTTGGGCCAAAGTTTTACACAGGAGAATTTTTTTTTTATCTCCTTCCACTGTTACGTTTTTATCACTGCTGCTTTTTATTTTGTGTTATTCTATTTCAAATGCCTCCCATTACACTGTTGGAAGCCATATGCAATGAAATGTCATTTTAACAGTAAAGTTTGTCAAAGTTTTCATGATTTCCTAGTATGTTTCTTTAGCCTGACTGATTTTAAACATACCTCAGCCCCTCATCATATTACTCAGAATCACCGGTTGAGCATTTTCTCCCAGAAGCAGACGCTAAAAGGCCCCTAATCTGCCCCAAAACCGTTCCAGCAAACAGGAGGCTCTGATTTGAATAAGATAAGCAGATGGTGAGGGTATTCCCACAGGAGTTGCACCTTTGCCCTCCTGATAAGGTGACTGCAGGCAGGGTGGTCACATGTCATAGAGCTGCAAGTGCTAGACAGATTGGGAGCTTCTTAATTGTTTCAGAAGGAGAATGGGCTAGGTGGGGATTTTTGTGGATTCTGCTAGTGGTTGTTTGATCTTCTGCACTAATTAATCTGCTTTATGTCTGCTCACACAAACAACAGCAAGAAAAAAGAGGCACAGGGAAGCAAGTTAGACAGGTTTGAGCAGCAGGGGTTATGTTTTATTTTCCATTTGTGGGTTTGGTTTCTTTAAGGTTTGAATGAGCAGTTGCAAAACATAGAAAGAGGCAGACAAAACAATGGAGGGAGAACTGATGCATTTAGGGTGAGAAGCCAGAAGCAAAAAAGTCTCACATCTTCTGGTCTGAAACAAACGCTTTTAGGTTTAAATCTAAGAGGATAAAATGCAGCAGACACAGTTAGGAGTCAAACAAAAGCAACATGACAGGTTGACATCCTTCCTCAGGTGAAGTCCTTCAGGCATGTGAGGCCGGATATTCTTGTATGTTTGCCTTCCAATGAAACTTGAAGCTGCTGTTGTAGGTTAATGTTACTAAAAGCGTCCTGTTACAGAGGCTCAGAGTGAAATTACATGACGTAGAAAAGCCGACTTTGTTTTCTTCACTACATTTAAAACAGGTCATAGAAAGAAGATGAAAAGCTGCGTCACTCTTAGAAACATGAGATCCTGCAGCGAGGAGCACATCTGGCCGACATTTCTATAATAGAACACATCCAATTCTCAGAGAAGAAACTTCAATATGGTGACACCCACTGATGTCTATGTGTGGCTAAAAAACAAAACTTCATCCCAATAAAATGTCAACTGTATAATGAAATGAAAACACTTTGATTAGTAAAAGTCCCTTTATATGTTGAGGTGCATTAAATATGCAAAGTTTATTTTCTATTTTATCTAAAAAAGTGTGAGGCATGTTGGGAAGAAGGTGATCTGGTTGGCTAGGAGCAAAGCTGAGCTTTTATCATCAACACTACATGTTGCTCATGGCACTGATAGCATCCAGACAGGGAAACAAGGCGGTGGCAGTGGCATGCTGTGGGAACACTATTGCGAAGCAGGGTGGGGAAGCATGAGAATTTACCTTCCAGTAGGACAATAGACCTAAACATAAACCTGGAGCTGTGATAACAGGAACCAAACCATGTTACGGGGGTGTGGCCTAGTCAAAGTTCAAGCCTAAATCACAGGAAATGTGGCGACACATAAAATTTTCCCAGATGTCTCGTTTCCTTGTGACTAAGCAGCCACTGCAAACAAACCCTGCAAGAACTATAAAGAAATACGTAAATAATAACTTAAATTAAGTGTATTTACCCTAAATTTGAGTGGATATATAAGATGATTTGCCAATGGAACTAATATGTTTACACTTAAAATAAGATAACTGGATAATATGACAATGGAAATGAGACAATGCAATGTTGTTTTTTTCTTATTTTAAATGTAAATTGATTTTTTCCATTGGCAAAGTGTCTCACCTCCTCAATTAAAAAACAACAAAACTTATTTTAAGAAAATTGACTATTTTAAGGAAAAAAAGACTAAATCTGGAAACATTTTTTGTTGTTGACATTTTTTATTTTCCATGTTGTGAAAGCATTACAATACAGTACAGTAGTAGATTTTTTTTGTGTGTACAAAATTATATAAATAATATACAAAGGTAAATAAATAACATCTAAAAACTTTGAACATACTGGGAAAGATAGGTCTACCTGAAAAAGCAAAAAAACAAAAAACAAATAAACTCTCTACCAGGCAGTTTTGAAGTAAAGTATGAGAGATACATTAATATAACATCTTTAGACACTACAAAACAGTGTCTAAGGATGTTATATTACACAACATACAGGGTGTGATATAAAATATCACATGCCCGGCTTGACACTCTAGGTCCCTGAGCAAGACCCTAAACCCCACCCTGCTCCCTGGGCGCCCCGCAATGGCAGCCTACTGCTCCCCAAGGGGAGGGGTTAAATGCAGAGAGGGAATTTCTCCAATGTGAGATCAATAAAGTTAAATTATTATTATTTTTTTTATTATAAAAACAGCCATAAAGTTCAGTTCTGCGCATGTTTGATGCAGAGTCCAGTTCAGGGTTTAATAGCATTTTCTTCCTGCTGTTGGAATATATTAGCCTACTACAAAGGAGCCAAATCAATTTGATGAACCACATCAACCCCCCCTTGGTTCTAGAAGCTTTAAGTCAAGGGAACAGTCAACTCACTCATGGACCAATCAGCTAACAAGAAGGCTGGAATCCCAGCAAGAAGTACCCCTACGTCATTCAGGGTTTAAATCCAGAGGGCGAGATGAATCGACCTCTTTCCCTGGGTTCGTCGCCTGCAAGGAGAGGCCCATTTCACGTGAAATGCTAAAGAAAGCTAGCTGGAAGTAGCTTTCTTTTTCCTGCGTCAAAAATTACGGATTGCATTGTAGGGGTGTGGGAAATAATCGTTTTGGCGATATATCGTGATATTCGGCTGCCCAATATAATATCGATCTTTCATTTCTTAGTATCGATTTTCAAAAAAAAATGGTTACATAAAACATTGATGGGAAAATGGGCTACCTCTATTTTATATGCCTATTTGAGGCAGTCACAGTGGAAGAAAACCCCAAACAACATGGATAATAAAACCTAATCAATATTTTCTGATGAAAATATACATCACTTGCTGTTTTATCTCATCATTTGATTTTGATAGCTGGGGAAAATATGGCAATATAGTGATACTGCAATATCGTGATAATATCGTATCGTGACCCAAGTATCGCGACATGTATCGAATCGCAACACTCATGCCAATACTCACCTCTATTGCATTGTGGATTTCCCCCCTTTGTGAGGACCTCGATACCAATCACAGCCTATCTGCAGGAGGACGCTCCTGCTTCTATAGCCGTAAATAACCTTCCTCGATCTTTACGAGCCCATCAAGTTCCTCTGCTGTAGCATCAGTCTGATCTAAAACTCTTCAGAGAACGGACCCCCGTGAGACGGACCCACCCCGAGTTGAGGCCTCAGCAGGTGGCCGCTCTCACTGAGCCTGGTTCTGCTGGAGGTTTCTTTGCTGTGCAAAGAAAGAAACAACGAAAGAAAAATGTCTGAGGACTTCAGTGTTGAGGAAGAGCATGAGTTCTTTGCCGAGCTGAATGCGCTGGTTTGGTCTGCCGCGGTTTCCGTAGCGTCGTGAGCTCAGATATCTAGCTTTTTGTGAAAGAAAATCTTTTGTAAGACAGACCAATGAACATGTTTCCGTCAAACATCAGATTAGTTCTCTGCTCCGAAGATGTTTGTCCTCAGATAAAGTGAAAATTAAACATGTAGAAGAAAACTACTGTAGCATATGACCTTGAACACACCATGGTAAGACACCATAGCATCATGCTGTGGGATGGGTCTCCTTAGCAGGCACCCTGGTTCTGCTGGAGGTTTCTTCCTGTTCAAAGGGAGTTTTTCCTCTCCACTGTCGCTACAAGCATGCTTAGTGTGAGGGATTGCTGAAGAGTCAATGAGTCGATGCAATCAGCTGGTTTTCCTCAGATAGAAAACTTTGAATCAATCTGACTGGATGATCTGGTGAACTGGAAAGTGACCTGAGATGACATGATGTGAATTGGAGCTATAGAAATACACTGAATAGAACTGAATTGATCAAAAACAACACCAAGATTTTTTACTTTATTATCTGTAATTGCCTGTAATCTATGTAATGGGTTAGCTTCATCTGGATTATAGACAGATATAGCTGGGTATCATCAGCATAACAGTGAAATTAATCCCATGCTGTCTAATATATGACATCATGGGGATGTTCTGCAGGTGTGTTCCAGCTGACACTCTGCCATTATGACCTGATATCTTGTGCATAGACCCTGGAGGACTTCTGGGCTGCTGCATTTCCCTGATTGTATGAATGTCATCCCTGACTGCGGTTTATTTCGGTGTATCATGACGGTATGACATTAGTATTTCCCTTTGGGAGAAGGTTTAGAGAATCTGACGGGTGCCTTCAAACAAATCCAGCAAAAATCAGCTTAAACAAAGACGCCGCCTCAGGGTCCTGGTCAGTGAGGGTTTTCTTCCTGTCCATCATCAGTCGGACTGAAGCACTAAACTGACAGTTATCCTGTTCCCAGGATCAACCTCATCTGAAGCTGCAGAAACACGATACGGGGGATCTACAGTGGTTTCCTGTTCCATTAGAAAGAGGGAAGAATGAAGTTCCTCCAGCGCTGCAGCAACGTTCAAAACTAATCCTGGTGTAAACTGAGGAAGTCAATTATTAGATCATTGATCGAAATGAAAAGAAAACAGTTCTCCATAGAACGCAGTCAATATCAGTATAGCTACGGTCAGACGATTATTTCAGTGTTATTATGGAGCAACTCCACAGAAAATGAAAGGAATCTCAGCTCACTGTATAGATCTAGACCAACCAGATCATTCAGTCAGATTTAAGCTTTCTATCAAAGATAAACCAGCTGATTGCATCCAGTCATTGCAGGATTACCTCCTGCAAGATGAGCAGGTACAGACAACAAGCAGTCATTTTTTTTTTTACTTTGCTGTAATCCCTCACATGGAGCATGCATGCAGAGACAGTAGGAAGATACAACTCCCTTTGAACAGGAAGAAACCTCCAGCAGAAGCAGAACAATAGAAACAAAATGAAATGCTGATATTTCAACCTGCTGTTGCAGGGGGATGATCAGTGGAGCAATAGCTAAAGACTAGAGAGCACTAATGCTACGTTCAGACAGCTTCTTCAGCTGAAGCAGCAGAAGCAGCTAGTTTACATGCAAAGTCTATGGTTGACGCGCATCAAGCTGCATCAAAAGGTCCTGCAGAGCGTTTCATGCAGCAGGAGCAGCAAATCTTGACGAAAAATGTAACTTTAGCTGCTGGACGCGCCGCATCAACCAATCAGAGAAGCTGATCTGGGAGCTGGCAGGGAGTCAGACGCAGCACTGCTGATGCAGAGCGCTATGATCACTCCTCTGAAACAGTTTATTAACGCCTAAATTAACTTCAAATGTAGAAACCTGCCGGCAGAATATGTTGGCTTTTATTATCCTGCTGCCTGCAGTTTGTAGCACAGACCTGAAAAACGCTAACATCTACTTCCAGCCGCCACCAACAGGAGGGGAAAACCCTGGAGAGGCGAGCGGGCCTGAGGCAGCTGCTGCTGGGGATTCCCAGTGACAGCGCAGCGCCGGTATGTGGGGGTCTGAGCGGCTCCCACAGAGAAATAATCTTTGAAGGCAGGATGGTAATCTGGATGAACTGACTGCACAGACCATGTTTTCAGGAGGACTTTCTCACTTCAACATAGATTCTAACTACTTTCTACCCGCTGATCACAGCTAATATAGCAAAGCTGCTCTCTGGCATCGAACACAGGAGCAGCAGAAGCATCTGGACTCACTTTACTGGACGGCTGACCTTAATGTGGATCAGAGATGAAGCAGCAGAAGCTTCTTTGCTGCTTCCAGTGCTCGCGGTCTGAGCGTAGCATAAGGACATCTTTGGGTCAGAGGCAGTTTTGTTTCTTCCCCAGTTGCCAGGAAGGGAGAGTTTCTGTGTTTTCAGTTTGTTTTGCTGATCCTAAATGTTGCTAAGCTAAGCACAGGGGCTACCTTAGCTGTAAAAACATGTTAGGATGACCAGACATCCTCTTTTCCCCCGACATGTCCTACTTTTCATACCTAAAGAAGAGAATTTCAAAATTTTCCAGGATTTTGGTCGACTAAAGTGCAGCAGAACCGAGCCGTCAGCTCCGGGGCTGGTCCAGGAAAGATATATCGTGACCCAAATCTGGTCACGATATATAAAAACAATAAGAAAAGCAATGTTTGAGCCCTTTTGTTGGGTTTGCTTTGGTTGGGATCACATTTTTGGCAAAAAGTTGCTGCCATTTGTGTAGAACTCTGCCGATTGAGCTCCACACCATCCAGACCCAAAACATGTTGCAGGGACCATAAATTTAGTCTCCTTCAGAGATGACTCTGGGTTAATGTCTGGACCTGTTCTAAACCCAATCTGAAAAAAAGGCTGAAAAATAAGAGACAGAAAATGTGAGTTTTTCTATTTATTAGGATTCAATCCTCCTATTTTCATCAGTTTATAATGAGGTGACCAGATTCATGAAACCCAATCTGGGGACATTTCCAGATCGTAGATAAAAAAGTACATTTCATCAAGAAGAAATTAGGAAATTTCCTCTTGATGAAATGGGGATTGCTGAAGAGTCAATGAGTCGATGCAATCAGCTGGTTTTCCTTAGATAGAAAACTTTGAATCAATCTGACTGGATGATCTGGTGAACTGGAAAGTGACCTGAGATGACATGATGTGAATTGGAGCTATAGAAATAAACTGAATTGATTTGAAATTGAATTGAGACAGGGACGATAACGGTTTTATTTATTTTTACAAGTGTATTAATATGTAAACAACAGAAATTAACTGTAAAAGCCAGGAATATGTATCTTAACACTGGTAGAATTTTCTCAAAATTAATAAAATGAATAAATCAATAGCGTTTTTTTTTTTTTTTTTTATAGAAAACTAGAATTGTGTCTCTGGATTGGGAGTGAGAGAGAAGGGGTCAACGGTGGTTAGCAGGGCTTTCCGATTATTCGGGGGGGCCTAAAGAGCTCCGCCTCCCCCTAATGGGAGAGTAACATGAGGAAAAGGAAAACCAAAAACGTGATTTCTCTTTTTCCCCTTTTCCAGCGTTTTATTGTCATTCCACTGTCACAAGTACAGAGCAATGAACTCTCTGCATTTAACCCCTCCCATTGGGGAGCAGTGGGCCGCCATTGTGCAGCTCCCAGGGAGCAGTGGATTCTAGAACCCCTGCATTCCATGTGCAATGCCCTGGATCCACTAGGCCGCCACTCCCTTCTAACTTCTGTCTGCTCTCTGTTTTACTCTATGTAGATTTTTCTTCCTTCAATTCAACTGTTTTCCCATCAGTGTTCCAGTTTCCTCCAACCTCATTCACACTTCTTTCTTCCTGTCTTCTTTCTCTCTCCTCTCCTATCAGTCTTACACTATTCTAAAACAGAGACAATAATCAAAATCACTTCCAAACATATTATAATCTCATCTGATTAAATAATAAAAATGTATATTTGTTTTGGATAATATTTGGAGCTAGATGCAACATACAGCGTAATAAATGAACATCAGACAGGCAGATGTTTCTTCCTCCTTCATTTTCAGATCATGCAGATCATGTTGTCCTGTTACTGACTGGGAAATGTTCTTATATCGAAACTGAGTGAAAAGCACACCTATGATCATAAATCACAACCATAAATCAGAAATACAAACTAAAATCTAAACTAAAGATAACCAATCAGTTCTAAAACATCTCTGACCGATTATTGATAATAGTGAAAAGCTGAGAAAGTCGGCCATCATTGAAATCTGAACAGAGAGGTTTAGAGACATTTAGACCAGAAGCTTCTTTAGGAAGACACTGATCCAAGATGTGTAATAGAATCTGGATCCAACTGAAAGGTGAGTCCAGGTGTCAGGCGGCCATGACGCTGCCTAATTTCTGCCTGTGCCAGAGAACCCACAGCCTCTGCAGGCAAAGGATTCGCTCGCTGTTGTATGTTTTGTTGGTCTTTGGTTTATTTTCCATTACATTCAAGCAGTCTTTAGTTCTATTCAGTTTATTTCTATAGCTCCAATTCACATCATGTCATCTCCGGTCACTTTCCAGTTCACCAGATCATCCAGTCAGATTGATTCAAAGTTTGACTCAGTTAACTGCGCCGAGCTCGGTTCCCTACTACTATTTACACACCATGCTAGCGCAGTTCCTCGCTTCCTAGTGACGATCTACGGTATTACTGCTCTTGTTACATTTCGTTGTTTGCGGACAGTCAGGCAAAGAAGGCAACCTTTGGTGAATTTAATGATGAACTAGTACCAGTTTAGCACGGTTCGGTTGTGTCTTGCAAGTTTTGCATGCCATTTACACTCGACAGTTATCTCGGTTACTGTTCTATGACCGATCTTGGTATTGTTGGGATCTGGAGGTCTGTCCACTTTCTCCACCAGAGGGCGTACTAGATCTCCTGGAGCCGGAGTTGATTGCACCACCTGTCGCTCATCTGCACATCAGGAGATCCGTATTTAAGGAGGCAGAGGACTTCTCTCCAGTGCCAGAGTGTTTGCCAGTAACGGTTAGCAAGCCTGAGCCAACCTGCCTGTCTGAATCTCTGACTCCCTGAAAACCTGAACCTGATCTGTTTTTTATCCTCTCTGCTTCCTAGATTGAGCCTGCCTGAAACCTGAATCCCTGAAGAGTTTCTCTGTCAGTAATAAACCTGTCTGTTCTCTGAAGAACCCTGGAGAATTATTCCTGTCTAAAGACCTGCCTGCCCGCTCTCAGAAGACACTGGAAGGGAAACTCAAATCAGTGATCTGCCAACACTCAAACCAAGCTCTGCCTCCGTCTAGCCCTCAGCCTGCCGACAGCCTCTGGACCCTCAAGGTTCCCCCCCTCTGCCGCTCTGCTCAACTCCAGAACAGGTACAGCCCTGCACACTCTCAACCTGCAAATTACCTGGACCTCCACTAACTCCTCTGTCCCCCTCTGCAGTGAACCCACTCGTGACCAGTCCTGGACCTGATAACTCTGTGTGCTTTTCAGAACCCATTCGTGACCAGACAAATTCCCCTCTGGATCTGTTCATTCATTGTGCTTAAACTTTACAATAAATCTTTGAACTTTTCTCCTGCCTCTGAGTGTTCTGCATGTGGGTTAGACACCTGAAGCCAAACATGACAGGAATGGTTTCAAAAGGGTAGTGGAAATGGGGCTATAGGGTGTGATTCTGCCCTTAACAGTCTGACCATAGCCCCATTTCCACTACCCTCTGAAAACCGATCTGTGCCGAGCTTGGATCAGTTAACCATGCTTGTACACTATCTGGAAAAACATCAAAGTAACAAAGTAACTCAGCAAATTAACTTCAATTACTGAGAACTGTACTGTGTAAAAAATTACTGAAGTTGTATTGGTAATGCCTTACTTTACTACATTAATACAAAAAGCCATGCATTACTGTAGCCTAATTAAATTACGTTTTTTCTGCCTTACTCTCAACACTGATATTACGTAGACTACATACAGTTAACATTAGAACATTATTTAGGTAGATTTCTAAGAAAAGGTAAATTAAAATGGCCAACACTAGTATGAACTAAAACTAGCCTACTATAAGTGGCGAAGTTGACCTGTGGCGCTACAGCAGCACACACATTGACAGTGAGATACAATAACTTTAAAAACGTGATTCTTTTATTATTCACTGGTGAAATCGACGACAGTGAAACTAACAGTTAGTTAGCAGCTAACATTCATCATAGCCTAGCCTTACGAACGTTACAATGAACAGGAACATGCGATAAAAATAGTGATTCATGGTTGAGAATAAAAAAGTAACTGAAATAAACTAGGTAAATTTGGTTGCTCACCTTGCTTTGAAACAATTTCCTTGACTGGTCCCGACAAAGCATCAAGTAGAAGATGCATGACTCAGTCTAATATGCAGCAACCATGGATTTTGTGTTGATTGTGCAATGTGCCCATAGCAAGTGTGAAAAAATGTGCGATATTTTCAATTGTTGCAAGGAGCTACAGCTCAAACTTTACGAGGAAAGAGCAGGGTTAAAAAGTGTACAGCTCACAATGCATGTTCTCACACCGTGTGGCCCCATGCGATCTTACGACGGCCGACTGAATTTTTCTCCCGACCTTACGATTCCTGATCGGGAAGTGGTCTTGAGAGGCTGATGGCCTGATCGAAAAATTCTCACACAACTGGAGAATCAGGCCGAAAAGGGCAAAAATATCATACAGTGTATGCCCGGCTTAAAGGTCTGACCATGGCACTGATGGATGACTAGCCCAACACACACAGAAAGCAGAGTGTGGGTCAGACCATAGGCAGAAGTAAAAATGCGTTTCCTTCACATTTCGAGAACCAGACAAAGTCCGGTCATCTGCAGCATTACTCAGATCTTCTATCATAGTAGCATCTGAGCACATTCTACTCAGTCTATTTATATAGCTCCAATTCACTTTCCAGTTCACCAGATCATCCACTCAAATTGGTTCAATGTTTTCTATCTAAGGAAAACCAGCTGATTTTATCAACTCATTGACTCGAAGGCAATCCCTCACACTAAGTCAGTCTCAGACATCTGCTGAGGCTGACTTGGTTTCAATGAGACAGAAGCAGACATAAAGAAAGAAGCTCAACAAGTTGATAAAGGAAGTCGACTCTTTCTGAGGAACTCCTCTAAAACATCTGGAGGTGAATTCACATAGCAATAGAGTTGATTCCTTCCCGCTATCATCGCAGCCCCAACCTCTTTACAGGAGAACAGAAGACCTCACCTATTCAGCCAGGCCAACACTGGAAAAACAATCCAGAAATAAGCAAAACATTTCTTAAATTAAGTGTATTTACCCTTAATTTGAGTAGGTTAATGAGATACTTTGCCAATGGAATGAGTATTTTATACTCTTAAAATAAGTTAATTAGATAATATGCACTTAAAATAAGACAATGCAATTGTGTTTTCTTATTTTAGGTGTAAATTGTCTTGTTCCATTGGCAAAATCGTTCTTTTACCTCCTCAATACAAGAACAAATGCACTTATTTTAAGAAAAAATTACTTATCTAGATTTCGATTTTTTCCAGTGAACTATTCCCTCTAACGACCCCCCTTTCAGAGATATAGACAGGTATGGGGCATTGCAGGCTAACAAAGAAGCCAAGCGACCCCCATTCCAAAGGGGGGGACCCGTTCATCCGTTTCTATTTGCATGTTTTCTAAACTAAAACCAGGCTTTATTGGGCTGCTGGATAAAACCTGGAACTAAACGACATTTTGGATTGAAAAAGCTTCCTGGATGGAAGAGAAACGTCTTCAAACTTGGAAACAAAGTCCAGCTAATTGTTTTCTTTTTTGGATTAACAGTGACCTGGATGACTGAGAATCTTCACCAGCATATTTCACAAAGAAGGATTCCTGTTAAATGAAAGGCGATTATGGAGAACAGTGAGCATCGTCTTCATCACGCTGGTAAACACCAACAGACAGTCTTCAGTCAGAGACAGACTGAAGATCCTTCCTGTCCACAGCATCAGTATCATGAAGAAATCTGCATAATATGATTCGCATTGCTTTCCTTTTGGGATTAACAGAGTTGGACTGAGTTTGAGGAAATAAGATTGAAGATGATCAGATTTTAATCCAACCTGATTAATATATTTCAGATGGACAATGAGGACAGATGGAGTCATTTCTAGATCTCTTCTTCTTCTGAAAGGAGGGGTAATAAAGCAGCACATCATGGGGCTTTGAGTTATCTGATCAGGGATTTCCTTCTGCTGATCTGTGTGTGGCTCCACCCTCTGAGCGGGAGTGTCATTATGCCTGCAGGTCTTCAGAGATCCCTGTCAGACCCTGGAGGGTAGATCCAGATAATGACCTCTCCCAGGCAGACTGGAATAAGAGACATCTGGCTTCATGTGAGACACATAAAAACAGAAAGTTTGTCTTATAAGCTACCGGCACGGTGCAAGTTGGTCACCTGCTGTAAACTAAGTGCTGCTTTGGAACCACCATGTTGGAGATTAAGTCTTTTTCTGTGCTGCACTGCGTTTTCTTTGGGGTCAGTTTTCTATACAGCCTAACAGACAACTCTAAATGATCCTGGTGTTTCAGACTGCAGGCAGCAAGACTTTTTACGAACAGAACACCTAAAACTGTGCGATTTTTTTCAATTGTTGCGCGCAGCTGCTGCTCACACTGTACGACTAATCGCAGGGTTTAATCGTACAGTGTTAGCTCACAGCTTACAGTTTATGTTCAGCCCGACGCTCTGATGCGATCTACCTGCTCACTGTACGTCTAAAAACCAGGTGGGACTCAGCTCCGCAGTGAGATGGCGCTACTCGGACTCGTCTATCTGGAAGCCAAACCTGTAGCAGAGGAACATGAAGCTCACTAGAGTGAAACGCGCTGCCTTGGATATTTGGGCGATTTAGTGCTGAAAGCCCTAAAAAGAAAAGGAGACGACATATTTGGACAAAGACATGGCTGAGCTAACGTGGCTACTACGGTCTGCCAGTTTGACAGAAAGAACTCCATTTCACTCATTGCCCCCCCACCATGCTGCTGGGTTTACATCTGAGAGGAAGAAGAAGAATCCTTCTTTGCGCCCTGAGCGATTTGCCCACGACGGTCGACCTCATGATTCCTGATCAGGAGGTGGTCATTAGAGGCGAATCACCCCTCGTAACCCCCCGTACACTACAGGATTCACGACGCACGATCAGGCGGAAAGTCGCCCGATTGAAAGATTCTCGCACGACTGGAAAATCGCCCCAAAAATCGCACAGTGTACGTCGGGCTTCAGTCAGTTCTTCTATCTGCATTAGTTGTTAAGTAGAACTTGGCCCTAATAGCTCAGATGCATCTGCAGCTAAACATTGAAGCAGCATAGAAGAACATTTCAGAGACTCCAGAAAAATATTACAATGACAGAAAAGATTAGACAAAACAAAACAGATAAATGATAAAGGTGAGTTAAATGTTTGCTTTGACTGACGGTTAGTAGATGATCGGTCGAGTGTAAGTGCGCCACTTGCTGGCCTGGAGGACTTAAACCTGAAGCTACCAGCTTTAAAGGAAAAGTCGCTCATATTCAGAATTCAAACTTCTGAAAGTTCTTTAAATCTGAAATGATTCCATCCTCTTCAATAAATGATCAGTGTTTTTAATTCAGAGTAATTTTCATGTGAATGTGCTTTACTGGAGGCATCCATGTTTGTCAAAGAACACTACTGCCCCCTACTGGTTAGTGACATTGTCACGGTGCGGTATCGGCTGTTGATCAAGTCCCAGTGCTGTATCTGGTGTTTGTCCCAACGCGCTATTATCCAAGTCATCTTGAAAACATTCTTCTTCCAAATGTTGGCTACATATTACGGGTTTTTTCTCTGGCCAGAAGTTCGATGGCAAATCCTCCCTCTTCAAGTTGGCGATCCAACGACCAACCCGTCCGTGGATCAGGATCAGGAATCAGAAAGGTGGAATAACTCTTTGTTTCACTTTTACCCGATGTATTCCAGCATCCAGCTGCCATGCACGTGGGCATTGTCAGTTTCACTATAGCTCTGGTGAATTTAGGGGGGGGGGGGCTGTTCAGATCCTTTTACTGTCCATGCTTGCTCTACATGCACACAGCTTGCCCTGTTTGTGGTAGTACCACATGACATTCCTCTAAATGCCCCCCAGACACCCCCACCCCCCTGGTTTCCATGGTAACCACAGGCTTGCTTGGATGCAGGAGCTCATCTGGCTGCGTGTTTACATGCGATGTCCTGCCAGCGAGGACCCTGCCCCAGATCTCAGTTGACAGTCAGGGGGGTGGGGTGGGGTTAGTGGGGGCTTTCTTCCTCATTTTAATCCACTCAGAACCTCTGGGTCCATCGGAGATGTTCATGAAAGCCATCTTTCATACTGTGGAACTGTTTGTTCCCAAAGGTTTAGCATCCGACGCTGTGAGAGCCCTCTAACAGCTCCTTTCCAAACTAGGTCGTCTAAAACTAAACGCAGCGGCTGTGAAACGCTGTTTTTCCTCCCAATCCAAGATTCCCTTCCTTCTCCTTTTGCGCGTGGGCTTATATAAGCTGCAGACATGGCTGAGCCTGT